TAATTATATAACAATGAAGTTAATAAACATTTCATGTCGAGATTAAGTCCAATGAATTGTGAATATGGTTTGTATTGCATACTTATAAAAGATAAATATCAAATTTAGGACGTAAAGTAGGTATATGAAATTTCTAGGTAATTGGGTTAGCAATAATTTTAGTTATTGCGTATAATGTAGTGAGGAGAAACGGCAGTGAACAATTGTTATCGATTAAAGGAACACTTTTTATATTGGTATTTAAAACTGTTTACTGAATTGGCATTTTGGATATCATTGGGAAGCTTATTCCAAATAACCGCTCCAGCATACTTAAAAGATTGTTTGAATAAGGTTACATTGGGTTTTGGCAATACTACATTAACAGTTTTTATGTACAAAGAATCGACAATCAATTTCATCAGGAAACTAGATATTAGATGAAATTAAAGTGCATTTTAAGATGGGGCGTTTATTGACAACGATCTGTCTCTCCTTATTCCCTATTTATCAGCAACAACCAAATCTGTATATCAATATAGAATAGTAAAACAAATAATAAAACATTATAAAAACCCTGAACACCAATTAATGATAGAAAACAAATATAAACAAACAAAAATAAACCCTGAACATCGAAACATTACAGTAAACAAATATTAAAACATAACACTAAACCCTCCACATCAATAGATTATAGTAAATAAAGTCAATATCAACAACAATAAATCCTTAATTTATATACTGTCAAACCTGCTTAAGTTAGTAACCACCTGTCTACAAAGGCCACTTTTTGTGTTTCCCTTGGGTGGTCGCTATAGACAGGTTTGACTGTAAATACTAAATAAACCTAATATTGATAATGATTGAGATTGTACAAACCAAAAGTATCATAAGTTAGAGTCCACAAAACAACCAGGAAAATGACAAACCCTGCTGCCAATAAAGCTGGAATAATTGTTTCGTGACATATTCTAATGAAACAGTTCTGCCAATTATGATTTATACTTGGTAGATAAAGTTTATCTTTTCAGAACTTTCTTGATCAAACTGTATGAATCTTTAAATAGATCAATACAGTTCTGAGAAATTACACATTTTATGTATCAAGAATAAATCATATCGACACAGTCGTTAATTAATAGAGGGAAAGTAGCAATAATTCCAACGTTATGGGCTACAGCGTACTTACCACGGAGAAAACAGCACTTGCTATCGAACCACTGGTGGTGTTTGCAAAGCAACAACATTTCTTCATGATCACCATTTCGACGGTGACCAAGGTGCAAAAAACATCGACAACGAAAGAAAAATAACAGCAATTGTCCCTTTTCTCCTCTCCTTCATATACGACAATCACCGGCATACAGCGTTATAATTGTTTCTCTTATTATTTTACGATTTAATGTGCGTTTTGTAATAACAGTTTTTAACGTTTTGGATCCGTATAGAATGATCAAATATGACTGGAGAGATTGGGAAGAATATCAATACGTCGGCTCGAACAGCTGTTGCTGAAAACTCGCTGAGTAATTTGATAGAAAGAAAAAGTTTTTCCCAGCAGCTGTATCAAGTTCAAGGCCCATACAGAGTAGGTCGTTTGATAGAATAGCCCATTGTAAATGGAATTAGAAAACTCATTTATATGGTCTCCTCTGGTATGTAATATTCTATCATTATATTGTTGTCATCTTCACATCCAAATGATTCGTATATAGTTTTACTTATATTTTAAATGTTATTGTCATTTTCACATTCCATTACTATTATACCCTGCATACTCCCCTCCCAAACAAAGAATTCCAATTCGCTCAACATGTCACCATCATCATCATTATCATCATTATCATCATTATCATCATCATCATCATCATCTTCATCATCATCATCATCACCATTAATGATATATTCCTCATGATCATCCTCAACGTTATCGACATCATCATTACCAACGTTATTGTCATCATCATCACCACAGTTATTTTCGTCATCATCATCACCAACGTTATTGTCATCATCATCACCAACGTTATTGTCATCATCATCACCAACGTTATTGTCATCATCATCACCAACGTTATTGTCATCATTGTCACCAACGTTATTGTCATCATCATCACCAACGTTATTGTCATCATCATCACCAATGTTATTGTCATCATCATCACCAACGTTATTGTCATCATCATTGTCACCAACGTTATTATCATCATAATCATCACCAACATTATCATCATCATTCCCTCCATTATCATCATCATCATCATCATTATTACCAACGTTATTGTCATCATCATCACCAAAGTTTTTATCATCATCACTATGAACGTTATTGTCATCATAAACATCACCAACATTATCATCATCATCATAATCATTCCCTCCATTATCATCATCATCATCATCATCATCATTACCAACTTTATTGTCATCATAATCACCACAGTTATTTTCGTCATCATCATTACGAACGTTATTGTCATCATAATCATCACCAACATTATCATCATCATCATAATCATTCCCTCCATTATCATCATCATCGTCATCATCATCACCAAAGTTATCATCATCATCATCATCGTCATCGTCGTCATGATCATTAAAACATCGTAAATTAATACATTATCATTACATGCTGAATTATCGAGCATCAATACAAATAAATCATAAAAATATCTATCCTTTTATAAATCACTTTATTCCATCGGCATGAGACCATTATTGTTGTCATGGTTACCAAGGACACACATCCGCTTTTTTGACGAGATCTTTCTCTTTACAATGTCAGTATCCTCATCCTGGCTGTCAATTTATCAATGAAATACATTTTTATTTCCACAAATTACATTATATTCAACACATAAAAATGCCGATACAAGTACATACACACAGTACATAACGATACATCAGTCTTGTACACAAAGAATTACAGACATACAGACATCTACAAAGTGAATTCAAGGTACAGTGTATAAACATTATATGGCAAAACAATTTAGGTAATCATGATGATAAAACGATTAAAAAGGTTACAGATAACCATGATTATATTATATTACAACTGGATATTATTACGAAATCATCTCAACGCGAGTAATTCAGTATCTATACCGATGCCAGATCATACATAATACAATCGCTTTCTTCCCGTACCATTTACTGTCCTTGTACCGAAGAGGGCTTTTCAGAAAATAGTAAAATGTATAGTAATATACATGTACATCTAAATATCTGAACAAGTATCGACTTTTTTACGTTGGGTTTCAAAGTTACTATCCGAAAATCATATCATGATTATTTGTTGATCTTGATATGTGAAATAAGAGTCTGAAATATAATAATTGTACAACTACGTCGATAAAAGTAATATATTTCTGTATAGTTCTGATGTTGGTTAAGTACTACGTAATTATGTACTCAGTCACCCAATTTACATCAGAATAACAGTCCATCCTATTACGAAGATCGCCTATTTAAAACGTAAGTAACAGAAGGATGAAAATCACTAAAATATTAAATATTATTTCAACATGATTTCTAGACTCAATTTTGCAGTAATGTATACAATTTAATACGTACCGTACAATAATTTATATTGTTTCCATGTATCTTTCAAATAATTGTTTTCGTATTTGTAATAATTATTTTGCTTATGTATAGTAACAACAAATATGTATGTACCGTACTCTAATAAATACAAAATACAAATTCAGTAGCTTAAAGTAAAAAGAACATAGATGTGTAGGCAGATAATGTAAGTTTATCCCAGTAGATATCCCAAATACCGATGCTTTAACATGTTACATTTTAAATTATTGTTGTTTTCTATAAAGATTATTCCCATCACTGGATACGTTAACTACGCAACAATGTATTCCTGTCACACGTAAATGAAATGTATAAAATTGATTTTTTTTTTCCTTCTTCTTCTCTCTCTTGTCGTATATTTGTTATTGAGCCTTTAACTTTTTGCACATTTCTGGATTTCGTCACTGATCGAGTAACCTCACTTATCATTTAGTCAATCGGTTAGTGCCCATTCCTTATAATAACGCATTATCTTTTTTTAAAGATACTATGTCCCATTTGCAGGCCCAAAAAATGAAAAAGTTAAATTCCAACTGCATTTGAAAGATAATACTAATTTAGAACTTCCCTAAAAAAGGTGGGGCTTGAAAATGTCTTCAAGTGGGAAAATAACGACTATTAGTTGTCAAATCGACTTTAGGGCTATAGAGCCCAAAATTAATAGTCTTGATTTTCAGACGATTGTACCGAATGGTCATACGTTTTATGCTGCGCAAAGATTCAATCAGTTTAATCTTGGCCATCACAAGAAGTGGGTTATTGATGTAGACAAATACTCATGTACCCTTTACAACTCTTTTCATGTATGTTATTACCAAAGAAGAAAAAAAGCCAGTCAGTCACTAAATAGTGTCTGACAGTGAAGTCTAGCAAGTAAACGGGTTTCCTTGCATAATTTGAATATGAGGACACTGCTAACGTTTAAATTTGACAGATTGGACATACATGACATATTCATAATTCCTGCAAAGTTCTACAGAATTTGAGGTTGGCTGCAAAAGGGACATAGTACCTAACTTAGGAGTACTGCTACCAATAATAATGATAATAATTTGTTTACCCAGGGAAGCCTGATCCACATGTTGTTCGCATGAGGGCGGCCTTGTAATCATGGTTACCTCAGCAATTGCCAGATACTTATTTCAGCCTGGGTGGAGAGTGGTAAATGTGGATGAATGCCTTGTTAAAGGACTTTAGTAACGGGTTGAGATTCGAACCCTAAACCCTTGGATTAAGAGTCGAATGAATGAATTCCTATACCACGACACCTCCAGTAAATGCAGTAAACGGATGTATTATAAAAGCATATTCCATGAATACTGTATGCACCAAATCGTAACTGCACAGCCCCGAGTAATACTGGAGCGTTAACACCCCCCTTCCCTACCTCGCTTCAAAGGTGTTGAAATTAGTTCTATATGAAAACCAAGTTTTACTCTTATGATATCATTGCGTGGGTTGGCAGATTTGTTAATACACTATATCATTTATGGGATGATGATTGTATTGACGGCTACATGTTGCCGGTCTAGCGTGTTGTTCGGTGCCATATTATTAGTTCCATATCCGGCATTCTCTCAAAATTTGGCGGTCTTTCAGGTCATTTCACCATGTGATGTCATGCAGTAAAATAATTAATTATGCCCTTACCTTTGCTTGGATTTTCCTGGCACTATATCAATTGTTTTGTATAGACCTGTTTGCATACATCGATACTCTAGTGTATTGAGAAGGTTTGTTCTTTGCGTTTTTAACATTAATACAGCTTGTTCAAAATAGTACGTGGCGTACTGTAAGACCCTTTGAACAATCATGGAACTAAATTCATCGTTAACCTTTCAGTACAAAGAGTTGTTCGTGTTTTGTTTCCTTCCTTTGTGTTGTTTATCAAGTGCATATCGGTCTATCAACATGTCATCTATCATTAACTGATCGGTTGATCACAATTCTGTCCAGTCGACATTTGACGAATTATTTACCCAAGTTGTCCTACATGTGTTGTCTGGATGTTGTTGGTTGACGCGTTGCCATGGTTATACCATGTTATATTGTCGGCCACGCCCATCTTTAAGCTCCTGGTACTGTGATAGTACGCAAATCAGACACAAGATCTGGAAAAAAAGAAACCAATAGAAGATGACTTATGAGAAGACTATAAATCAAAATATCCCCCCCCCCAGTCCATTACAACCAACAACGTGCATTCATGAATGAGATTCCGCCAAGTAAAATAACTCAATACCTACGATGTTCATATCTTTTTTAAATTTTATTAATTCAATTTCATCGTAAAAAATGAAAAATCAAGCTTGGGTTGCTTTTTCATGTAAAATTATATGTACAATACATGTTTTTGTTTGCACTAATAAACCGTCATCGATTGACTGGTTCATGACCTATGAGAACACACAATTAAATCTTCAACATGTACACCCGGGTGGGCCCCATTACCAAATTACTGCCCCGGACAACAACCCTACGCACCCCATTACCAACAAAATAGTCCCGGACAACTACCCTCCCCCACCCTATTACCAAATATAATTGTCCCGGACAACTCCCCTCCCCAACTCTATTACCAGAACAACTGTCCCGAACAACTACCATCCCCTATCCCATTACCAAAATAACTGTCCCGGACAACTACCCTCCATACTCCATTACCAAAACAACTGTCCCAGACATCAATCCAATCAACCACTTTACATGTTTATGAATACCGAACAGCGATCTTTAGGACGACATGTTGTCGCCTTGTGACTGTATTGAAACTTTGAAAGAGTCGTCGTAACTTATCACTAATACACACTTTGCTGGAAGAAAACGTATAATTCTGGTAAAACAATATATCATAGTAGAACTATCTCCTGAAAAGGACTGCTCTTCAGCTGGCCTCATATTTGAAATTGAATGAGAAATAGGTACCCCCACCCCCCCCCCCCCTGGCACCTACTCCGGGAATGGAGGGACCGCATTCATGTTCCCAAAATGTCCGGTAAAGGGGTACTTTTCACGCAACAAAGTCTGGCCCCTAATACACAAACAAATAGGCCCGTATTGACTTCACACACCGGACTTAAGGGGGGGGGGGTGGTGGTGCTTTCAAAGATAGGGAACTTGCATACACGTATCAGGGGGGGGGGCGGGGCGGAAGCTAAACACTTTATATTCAAACTATCATGCCAGATATATATATGTGTGTGTGTCGGCCTACATGCCCATATCTGCGTGCAGTGCATGTGGTTATCAACACGATTGAGTCGATTTATCGCCATTATGATCATTCCAAAAACTCACAGTATGCACTAATTCCTATGATCTACGTTGCCAATATTTCGCAAGTGCCTCCAAACAGTTTCTTCTTCTCCCCAATATAATCTCATGATCAGTAACCAACTTAAAGGGGGTGTAGCATGACGACACTAACTGTCTTTTCCGTGGCCTGACTCGGGGCCAATCGTGTATAATGAACGACGCGACCGCAGTATTCACGTTTATGCAACATACATGTACGCTAAACCGAAGTATGAGGTGAACTTCGGTCTGTTTCGCGAACGCTAGCGCGCGCTGACTGTTAATCGAGCCCATTCGTTTACGTGCAGTTGTCCAAAAGAAGTCGTAGATGCTACACTCCCTTTAACCATTTCAGTTTGTTTGCCCATTCCACACCCCCTCCCACCCCCTCCAAGGATGAATACTTGCCTTTGGTGCCGTCACGACGAACCAGACGACACATTGTGCGATGTCGATTACATGCTCAGCAACCTCTCCCATGCCCTATGTTAGAAATAAAACAAATACAACAATTTGTATTGGAATTTGAAGATTGTTATCGAGATCCTGGCACATGAAAACTGAAAACTCGATTTGAGTCTGGATCACCATTTGCAAGTACGGACTCAATAAGTGTTGTATACCCAATATGGATATGGTATTATTAATGATATAATGATATTATATAATACATGTATAGTGAAGATATAATGTTTTGGTCATTAAAGACCCCATCCGATGAAAATACAACTTGATATAAACGGAAAACTGAATGAATTTAGAATACAAATATAAAGGAATACAAAGTATTTACACTTTCATTATTGCACATAAGCAATTTAAACCTCATTTTCCGCCCCCTCCACATTACGGATGAACAGGGGTCAAATTTGCTGAAATTACAGTAGGTCGACCACTTCCGATTTTCAAAGCTTCGGATTTTGAGTTTTTAGAGAGCTGATACTCCTCTGACAGACACTAAAACGGCATATTATTGACATGACGGTAATCTATGGCTCATTTAGCTTTCCGTTGATATGTATTTAATCCACTTCATTTTTAAATTCGGATAATTATGGTCTTTAATCATCAAAGCCTTAGAATGGCTAGTAATATAATATAATTTCATAAATGACAAACATTTGATATATTTGTTTTTCTTTAAATTTACATCAACAACTCGTCAAGACAGTATGCAAGATTTTCTCCAAGCCAGTTGCACACATTGCCTATCATTGAACGATGAGAGATCTATATTCATCATGCATTATACGCCATTTTCGGTGTATAGCCTGTAATCGGTTTTTCGAAGTTGAGTCTGACTATAAATCATAAGAATAGGGATTAATTAATAAAATCATACTTACAATGAAAACAAATACGATAATCCAAGAGATGAGCTGAAGTACAATGAGTAATGGAATTGCAACCATGTATGGTATTAACATACACTTGGAGTTCTGCAAAATTGATAAAATATTATTTGTGTTAATACAAAAAGGCATCATTGTAGTTGATACATATTAGGATATTAAATATAGATGTAATTCATAAAATACTTCATTATTCTCTTTAGAATATGCATTAGCCGTCCAAATTCTTAATTTCAGGAGTACTACAGCGCTTTTTAATCATAAGCATCGTAACAAAATATTGAAGGGTATTCCTTTTGGAACTTTACTGTCAACGTTATCTCTCTCTCTCTCTCTCTCTCCTTCATTTTTTCTCATTATCTCTTGGTTTTCATTTCCTCATTCGCCCCTGTCACAACCATGACATCCATCTGCCTTAACCCCGAGCCTTTCGGGCGTTTGTCCTGCATATCCTCTCCCCTTCTCCCCCTCCCCTTTCTCCCTCCCCCTGTGTCACTCTCATTTCTACTACAGCCCTCACTCGCCCCTCTTACATCTAACACACCCCTCTCCGTAACCCCCTTTCGCTGGTCCCATCTCACCGCCATCGTTATACCCACCCCCTTCTTCCTCCCTCATCCAAACTCCCACCCCTCTCCCCCCTCTCTCTCTCTCTCTTTCTTTCTCTCCCATGCCCATGGCCCACTCATCCGTCTCCTTTAACCTACCTTAGCCACGCCCACCAGTAGGATAATGGATGCGATGAATAGAAAGATCAGGACGACCAGGTCAATACTGTAGGCAGCGTAAAGACCTTTCCTTGCCGCCCCTATATAATAGAACAATCACACGAAGAGATCACTGAAACCCATTACAATTTTGATCAATCCTACCGCCGCTAATGGCGACAGTATTGTCAGTGCGTTTTTACAGGAGGCATTTGAGCGTACAGGTGTGTTAACATGTCTTGTAAGATTTTAGAGTATCATATTTGTGTACATTGTATATTAAAGAGAAGGATTAAGGCATATTAATGTAATGGATGCCTGCATGTAAGTCAAATCGGTATGAAAACTGAGTATTCTAGGGGTTCCCTAAAAAAGTGTTGTGCCAATTATTATCATAACATTCATCTCTACCCGCCAGCTAATTAACATAGTTTCAATTTACCATTGATGATCAAGGAGGGGTTTGTTGGGGCAACAGTTATTAGTTCGCACATTGAACACGCACCAGTATACGAAGACATCTCGATGTAGTCCACGAACTCCCATAGCAGTATACCCACGCTCACCAAGCAGTAGATCTGACAATGAAATACCAAAATAAAATTAGGGAATGTTGAGTTCCGGGAAAGATGAACAATATATTTGTTTCCATTTTAACAAATATTAGTGTGAAAGAGTAAAATAGAAAAAACAAAATCATCTGAAATGGGTAGTTCTTCTAATGCCCTTATATTCGGGCTATGAAAAGCAATGGCAACTTCCATGCCATATGTTTGTGTACTCAAATACTCATTTCTGTAGAAAGTGCACGTTACCAATTAAAAAAAAATCTCACAAATCTCACAAAATCTCACAGTAAATACAAATACTGTTACATGATCAACGTTTTCCAATAGGGCCCACACAGTGTAATTCACAATGCAATCGCGTGACAAAAAAAAAATCGTCTTCAAGAAATAGTTTCAATAACAAACATTAGCCCCTTCTTCTATGTCCTGAAGTTTTCATATAAGAGCAGTTCCTTTTTTTATTTTAAATATCTTTACATATCGTGTCGTTCTTTTACTTAAGACTCGTTATAAAGGTCTTGAATTACAGAATACTGTATATTAAAGTCCTCTATTCAAAAGGCAACTAGAAACTTACTTTATAAGTATATGTTTTGATTAAGCTGCGATCGAGGAGAAAGGAAGGACATATCAAAGAGAGAGAGAGAGAGAGAGAGAGAGAGATAGAGAGAGAGAGAGAGAGAGAGAAACAGAGACAGACAGAGACAGAGAAAAAAGAAAATGAAAGAGAGATTGAAAGAGACATAGGAAGGGCGATAACTTATAAACATGGACATATCGAACATTTGGGAATATACAGTCGGGTGGATACAATTTGAAAGGATGAAAAACAGTGAATTTAGCATTTTAGAAGAAAAAAGTAATGACCACAATTACCTATTTAATGAGATATAATACACTTCAAATGTATTCATCTCCTTTACATGGATAGTCTATAACGACTTCCCGCGATGGCATATTGTTATATTCCTTACAACCATAATGCGGAGGGTTCACGCTCCTGTGGTTTTAGGGCCTTTGAAGAAGAAAAAACGAATTTCCCCATTTACAAATAAATCCGATCAGTGGACTTAAACTGATCCCTTTTTATACCTCAAAAAAACTTTAACATGGACAAAGATAAGGGGAAATACAAACAAACTCGTGCTTATATTCAAAACACTTCGCGGAAATATCGGAAAGCAATTCGTTTGCAACGGGATTTTGTAATGCGTGTAGTAGTATATCTAAAGTATCCAATGTAGAATTTAGACTACGTGTGCATGTCTAATTGCGGTATAGATAAACGAGAATATACCTATACATATCAACATGAAACGAAAGTAATATATCAAGTCATCTCCAAAACTCAAGTCGCCATTTTGGTAGTGCTGCGTGGAATTCGCTGTCCTCCTCCATTATCCATTCAAAAGAAAGCTTAAATTATACCTGTTATCTACTTATCAATAGGTTGTCATCATTGTATCAGTTGTTATTAGTACTAATTAAAGACTAATTTGATAACACAAAAGTTTTGTTTTGCCTTACTTTCAAGTTCTCGGTCTCCGAAATAAGCGATGAATGAAACAATGTCCCTTTTATGCTTCCTTATTTGGGATGAATTAATTTATTGTACCTTGTATGCTACCCTCGAACTGAAGAATTAATCGAGAATGAACTGAAAATAAGGCAATTACAGATGGAATACGACAAAATCCCAAAATTGGGAATGTATAAGTTTAAACCCCATGCGGGGGAGGGGTGCTACTTCTAGAAGTCTTGCTACATGGAAATACACACTGTTTATCGCATTATTCACATATGCTTACCTAATTAGCTGTTATCTTACAAACCCACACTCTAGAAATTTATATATATTTTTTTTACTTTGATTTCATTTTAGACATTAATGAACCCTGAAGTAGTTTGAAATCCTCGTCTCTTTTTCACAATCCCCAAATCCCACATGCTTGATGTAGCCACATCGGACTGTGGCATCGACATGGTTAAAGTAAAGTGATTTATAGTGTAGCGTGAACCTGTTCCTGAACCCTGTCACTAATAACAAGGAGTTCCGAAAGCAACATAACCTCTGAACTTGACCAAAAGAAACCAACAAAAAATATACGTCCAGTGTTCACTCACCAAGGAATATACACCACACGCTTTGGAACCAGTCCTGACATTGTCAAAGCAGCAGCATCTTGTCAAGATCGCCATGATGTTCCACTACTGGCTTATCTATCCCTTTCCCTCGAATGAAACCCTGCAAATAGATCAGTGGCTGAGAGTGGAGTTCAATTGCTCAGGAATTATGTCAGGATGCGAGCATATAATATATTTAGTGAAATCAGCTTGGCAGCGGACAGCGGCCGCGTCTTTTGACAGAGACGTCGTTGTTATTCAGTCGAGCAAACGTAAATGCATTCCTGTCATTGTGTTGTCACCCGAGCTCGAGTGACACTGATTTGAAATCCCTAAAAAAGGGGAAAAAAGAAAAAAAGTTAGAGTTATGAAAAACGCGCCCTATATAGCCAGAGGATCTTAATGGAGCCAGATTGCTTTAGACCTCCCACCTTGAACATTGATGGCATATATAGGTGAGGCTGTGGGGGATGCCCCCCCCCTACACCATTCATTCCTTCCTTTGCAAAATATTATCACAATTTGTCAAATAATATATAAAAATAAAGTTATAAGCTCGAGATTTACTTACAGTAGCAAGCCAACTCTCGTGAAATACCACAATATCACATAGGGTAAATTTCTTGAAGCGAGCACCGATGAGATTCTGAATAAATTCGGCCGATTACTTTATTAAGCTCTTTAATATACGCCTCGCGCTCTGACCGTTTGCATGTTTGATGAGAATTATCATATATACCAGCTTAAAGGCAAACCGTATCCAATACAATGGTAGGACTTTCGGGAAATTAACTCAAGGGAGTCAAGGACGACTTCATTCCCAATCGTAATGTCTATAAAATTCAGGTTCGGGTTATATCAATGTCCTGTTCGCACGTTTCAAAAGATGATGCACAGTGCTGGTAATATTGCCTACAGTATGAATCACAAAGATTTTCAGAAAATCAACTCAATAGGCAATTTCAATTCAGATTCTCTATTAATAATATACTAATATCTAATATTTAGGAGCGACGTAAACAAGGGCGACTTCTAGACACCATTTCTTGTTCATGATGTTAAAAGTATTCATTTATACTTAGCTGAATAAGTACCAAAGCGCTTACAAATACTAATACATGAAAAGAGGACAAAAAATGTACAGTACAGGACGTATATCACATAGATCATTGGGGAAAAAGGTGAGTTTTGAGGGATGGCAAGACAGGTAATTTCCCTTATGAAAAGAGGGATGCTGTTCCAAGTCTTTGATGCAGCTACTGCAAAGCATTTTTCAGCTGCTGAGAGTCTAATTGTATTAATTGTATTAATTGTATTAATTGTCTTCAAAATTCAGATTAAGGTTATGAAATATATCATTGTCGTGTTCGAATGTTTACAAAAGGTGATGCACAGGACTATTGAGATGATTTCAAATGATTTCAAATTATTTTATTTTTCATGCAAAACATAATACAATGAATAATTCTATAACAAAAATATGCAATAAAAAGACAAATATAGTAGAAAAAGCACGAGAAAAGATGGCCTCTGGTTGAATGTTTAAAGTCTGCCAGTGAGAGTGTTCTCGCGTTCATGTTTTTATTATTATATGAGCACGTGATAACCTACATGGATATCTCTCGTAAATGAGTTAATCACGATCCATTCTGAAATGAATAGTTCACTGCACCAGTTCTCGCGTACACTAAATACACGTAATCTAATCTCTCATTTGCCTGCATCACCCAGTCCCTCGCTTATTAGCATTTTGACCAGTGTGCCACAAGTGCCATAAGGGGTGTTTGAATATCACGCTAATGGCCGCCGCATGATAAGAGATTCATGACAGTTTCCAAGCCTGCACCTGCATTTTCCTGGTAATAAGTATCTCGCTCTCGGGGTATGGACATTAATTGGGCGCCAAACCGTCCATCATTATGTCGTTTACAGTGTCATATTGAAAGCAAAATAAGCATTCAGGCGTGTCTGCACTATCTCGAGATTGCCAAATATCCAGCTATTTTGAACTATCCCGATCGAAACTATCCAGCTATTTGCGTCTTCATTAGACCGAAGTGGCAAATTAGCTGGATAGTTGGTCGGGATAATATCCCAAGATATCTCGGTCTAGTTTGCAAAATATCCTTCTATTTCCGAACTAGCGGGATAGTTTGCGACCGTCTTCATTAGACCGAAGTACGGAGTCAATTATCCCGATCCCATCATGCACAACGATTTCCGGTTCGCACATGCGATCTATACCGCTCAGCGCTGACCTCGCAACCACTGACCTCGAGTAAACACGGAAAACCGCAAACTAGACCGAGATATCTTGGGATATTATCCCGACCAACTATCCAGCTAATTTGCTACTTCGGTCTAATGAAGACGCAAATAAGCTGGATAGTTTGCGATCGGGATAATTCAAATAGCTGGATATTTGGCAATCTCGAGATAGTGCAGACACGCCTTTTGGTGTTGTAAAAAAGTAGCAAACTGCATCATCCAGTAGGCCTATCAAGCATGCATGGGCAGTCAAACAATTTAATGTTCGTTGGGTTTTTTTTTTTTTACATACAATTGAAGACCTATCTTTTTCCACACAGCTGTGTTTTTTGTATTTTTTGTATTTTGTATTTTGGGGGTGAGGGGGAGATTTACATTGTAAGCACTAGGGTACTTATTCAGCTAAGTATAAATGACTACTTTTAACATCATGAACAAGAAATGGTGTCTAGAAGTCGCCCTTGTTTACGTCTATTTTCCCTGTTATAACAACAATAATATTGTTTACCCAGGGTCTCCACAGCACCAACGCTGTTCTTCCTGAGGGCCCTGCGACCAGTGTTACCCCAGTAACTGCCAATTACCCATATACACCGAGATATATAGGGGCAAATGGGGGTTAATGCCTTTTCAAAGGACGTTAGTGCCGGGCTGGAATTCGAACCCTTAACCTTTTGGATTGAGAGTTCAGTGTATGACCCGCTATACCATGATACCATCATATAAGCATGTACGCCATTGATCTGTATTACACTTCCTTTTTACCTACATATAGCTGTAATACATGAATATTCATAATCACCATGATCACCGAAAAAGGCGTATGAGAAATATTCTGCCCAAAACCGACCTCTCATGATTCACTTATAGTACATGCAGTTAGGCCAATTTTAAAACTGTGATTTTTGTTTTTGTTTTTGGTTGTTGTTGCTTGCCCAACAAAGCTTTATTGCTAATGTTGCATGGACTATGAATACAACTAACCAAGTAATCAACTAAACCTGGTTCGGTAAACTCTGTAATGCATGAACTCTTCATATATAGATGGATCTTAATTAAAGTGTCCATTAGGTGCTTCTCGCTCTCGAGGCGTCCACCCCCCCCCCCCCCCAAAAAAAAAAAAAAAAAAAAAAAATCCTTTGAAAGACCAGTATTAAAAAAAGAGAAGTGCAAAGAAAATGTTGCACTCTTTGAAGGCATTCGGCTTCTCGACGCATCTGTTATTTAAGAGCACAGCAATAATGCAGTTTAATATTCAAGTACAAAATGATTTGAGGTAATTACATCGCACCCCTGCGTAGCTTTATGTGTATAATTGGGTTATGGTAGGTTCCCACTGCCGATCAAACCAACCCGACCAAGCCCGATCAAGCTATTTTGGCCTGGTCGGGCTCGGTCGGCAAGGGTGATCGGGGTCGGTCTACCTTGATCGGTATTGATCTGGCTTCCTACACGACAATTTTTGGCATGTCAAAAAATATCGTGTAGGGGTCGAGAAGGCAAGCGATCGTACAGCGATCGTGTATTGGTCGAGTAGAGGTCGAGCTGATCGGGAATCGATCGTATAGAGGTCTAGTTTGGTCGGGGTGAATTTTTTCCGCCGATCACTACCCGATCATCTCGATTTATACACAACTTCTACACGATTGGTTCCCGATCTACTCGATCAACAACTCAACCGCTTCACAATCGGAACATGTCTGCCCTAAATAGTTACTCGACCGAACTCGCTTACTTCTCGACTGCTTCTCGATCACATCCCGAGCACTTCTCGACCGCACTCGATCTTTTTGATCGCAACTCAACCAAGGACACAATTACGTGCTGATCTAATCACATTTTCTTCGTACTGGTATATTGATACTAGTTCAATTAATCACATCTAGAATTGGTAGTAACATGTGACAGCGACACGCAGGCGCGGATCCAGGATTTCTTAGGGGGGGGGGGCCAAATTTGAAATTATGCGAGCAAAATATTGGTACGTAATTGTGACACCGGCAGTGCCAAAAACGTTTTTCTTTTGGGGGGGGGGGGGGTAGACAACAAAAAATCCCCATCACCCCACTCTTACATGCAGGCCCCGCTGAACGTTTCTCGGCGGGGGTCAAGGGGTGGAGCCCCCAGAAGCTCAGGGGGAATTCAATTCAATTAAATTCAATTCAGTTTTATTTTATTCAAGTCCATTTAAAAAAAGTACATTGAAAAACATTGTACATTGACAACATATTTACATGTAGGATACACAGTATACATTGAACTTTAAACACACAATTAAAAAGAGAAGTTTAAAGACAAGAGTAAGAAATCAAAGAAATAGATAATGAACATGAAATGGAAATTGCAAAAGAACCAAATAAAGGTTCTGTCGAGGCAATCCCCAGCCTTATACAAATTTTACTGATAAAGAATTAGAAAAGCATAGTGCCATTATGGCAAAAAAAAAGAGTTTAAAAGTTATAAAAATTAAAAAGTTATAAAAGTTGTGATGGATTTATTATTTTGTAGAGTATGTGAATGAAAAAAAAAACTTAAATTTTGATTTAAAAAAATTAAGAAACGAAATTGTTTTAATATAATGAGGAAGAGAGTTGACGGTCCTTTTGATTTGAAAGAAAAAGATGATGCTGTATTTTACTTTTTTCGACATAGTAATTTTCTGGATTTCTAGTATTATAATTATGCATTTCTGTTTTACATTTAATAATAGAGGCAGGATTATATGGTAATTTGTTATGTTTATGTTTAACGACCATTAATGAGATACAGTAGTCATTCATTTGATAGATTGTGAGAAGATTAAGTTTTGTAAATAGTGGTTTTGAAGGAGCAGTATAGTGAGACATTGAACATATTCTTACAATCTTTTTTTGCAATTTCAATAATCCAAGGAGCCTACTGGGAAATATATTGACCCATACAACATTGCAATACATTAAATAAGATAAAATCATTGAATTATACAGTAAGATTAAAATATGTTCTGGCAAGAAGTTGCACAGTTTGCTGATGACACCAATATT